GTAAAGATTTACAGTCTTGGAAACACTACAGGACAGTTTTACTCTGTGCTATAGGGTCGTTATGAGTTGGAATCAACTCAATGGCAGTGGTAAAATGTCTTTCTGTATATAATGGCTTTAAAAACTGGAAAGTTATCATTTACTTTTGAAATATTTACTTTTTTAGTAATGTGATTAAAATACGAGAGATTAAATCATTTCAATAGTAAGAGTTGTTAGAAATAAATTTTATCTTTGAAACCTTAGGGTAAAGTAAGAACACATGAGACTTAGAATTAGTTGGAAGACAGACTGGTATCTCGTAACTGCCATTGACTAGCTAGCTGATCTGGGTCTCATTTTCCTTACTGTAAACTTAGCATAGTATCTTCTTTCAAAATTATAGTGCTGTTGTGATGATCAAATAAGAAATAAATGTGAATTTCTTAGTAAACTGAAAAGATATATATGCTAGTAAATTACACATGTACAGTGCTTTCTAGAATTCAGCCCAATGCCAATACTATTTGCTATATAATAGTTAGGAGGATGGGCTTTGACTAATGGGATTGACCTTGTGTGACTTTAAGGAGTTATTTAACCTTCTCTCAACCTCATTTATTTTTGTCATTTTTTAAATGGGGTGAATAATAGAACTATTTCATAGGCTGTGAATCAAATAAGACAATATTTATCAAGCAATTGGCACCAGGGCTGGCACAAGTTAAGCTTCCATAAATGTTACCCATAATAGCAATTAGTATTCATCCTATTTTGGGAGATAAACCCAATTTAGCATCATAGAAATTACTAAGTATATTCTACAGTTACTAATTTCTTATTACTTACAGGGCAATTTAAACCCATGAACCTGGATAGAGGTCAAATATCCAGCTTACCTAACACCCTACAGCAGCTATCTGTGGTCGGGCCCTAGAATAACTAGACCCCAAAATGTATATTGCTAAGACAACTCTACAAGTTCCATCTTCCATAATTCTTTAATTTGATCCAATTTGATTCCAGGTGGGTTGTCTGCAGAAGGCCTTCCTTACACATACGTCACAAGTTTGAGGTCTTAGAATCAGAAACTGTGTTAATATAAAATGAAATTCCTACACTAAAATGTTATTAATAATGATTGACCAGCCTATGGTTAACAGTCCATACTGTTCTTAAGTGTGTATTCTATGAAAATGTTGTCAGACAGGAATGCCGAACTAGGTACTCAGGACTCTATTACCACTTAGCAGAAGTGTGGACCTACTTTACCTCCTTCCTTGGTACACTTGGCTAAGATTACATTCTTTCCTGATGATGACTTTATTGTTGTTAATTTGAAAGATTTGAGAGGATTTTTTTTAATTTTTCCTTGCCAGAAGGCAACATCTAGATCTCTTGCTTTTTTTCTGGTTAGCGTCTACATATGAACTTTCACTTTCTCATGGTTTATAGCTCAAGTTTTAAAAATTTGTTTTTGAACTGTTATCAATAATACAAAGTTTCACCCACAATTAATATTTTTGAGATAGTTACAAGTTATGGCAAATATTTAACATGGGAATATTTTCTCAAATTTGGTATGATAAACTCATGAACATTTCTACTTTCCTTTATTTTCTTTCTAGTTTGTGAATGCTTAGTTCAGAGGTTGCAAAAACTTAGAATTGTCCATGCCACATAACACTCTTTATTTTTTTTTTTCCTTTTCTAAATTTTATTTTGTTGTTTTTAAGAACATACACAGCAAAGTATACATCAACTCAACAGTTTCTACATGTACAATTCAGGACAATGATTATATTCTTAAAGTGTGCAACCATTCTCCCCCTTCCTTTCTGAGTTGTCCGCCCTCATTAATGAGAGGAAGAGAGGGAAAATTGCTAGATAGGTAAGAGACAAGTATTGACTTGGGTGAAGGGGAAGGTAATTAAAAAAAATAAAAACTCACTGCCTCCTAATATTCCTATCTAATCTTTTTATAGCTGCTGTTGTCTCTACTAACATTTCATTTTTAGTTTTCATAGATGATATATTGATATGGTTTAAAGCAGATATAAAGATATATTGTGAAAACATTTCCTTCAACATTTCTCTCTTATACCCAGTTCCCACGACTCATTGCTAAAGGTTTTGATTATTCATTTTCTCTGTATTCTTCCAGAGTTTCTTTGCTTATAGAATAACAGAAACATATATTAGAATCTGCGAATATCAGAACCTATGTAAGGCTGAAGGAGTTCTGGTAGCACAGTGCCTAAGGCACTTGACTGCTCACCAGAAGACTGGCAGTTCAAACCCACCAGCCACTCCTCGGAAGGAAGGTTGGGCAATCCTATCTCTGTAGTAATACTGCCTTGGAAACCCAAGGAGGGGTCTCTATGAGTTGGCGCCGACTCGATGGCACACAACAACAACAACAACAATGTAAGGCTGAATCCAGTCAGAGAAGGAAAGCTCAAAAATTTCCCACTTACCACAGAAAAGTGGTAAGGCTGCACATGTCAAAGGCAGAAAACTTGAGAGACCCAGAAAAACAATGCAATTCTGTCAAGTTTAGCCCTCACAGGTTTCACTGAATAAATTCTTATATTTCCCTTTTATAAATAAAAGCACACAATTCTTCACCTTGATTTCCTCACAGAACAATAACCTTCCTATTTCCCCATATGATACACAGAAAGTTCCTCATCCTTTTCATTTTTACAGCTGCATAGTTTTCTGGTTTAGGCATGAGCCAATAAGCACTGATAGACCCACTACCATTGAGTCGATAAACTTTATATTTTAGTATAGTTTTAGATTTACAGAAAAGTTGCAAGACTATTATAGAGTTCCTATTCATTACCACACAGTTTTTTACAATTATTAACATTACTATGGTGCATTTGTCACAACTAATGAATCATTATTAATACATTATTATTACCAAAATGTCTTATTTTATTCAGATTTCTTCAGTTTTCACCTAGTGACCTTTGTTAGTCCCAGAATCCCATCTAGGATACCACATTACAGTCAGTCAGCATGTCTTCTTTGACTCCTCTGGACTATGATACTTTTTCAGACATTCCTTGTTTTTTGACAACCTTGACAGTTGTGAGGAGTACTGGTCAAGTGTTTTGTTAAATGCCTGGCAATTTGGGTTTGTCTTATGTTTGCTATGAGTCAGGTCCAACTCGACGGCACATAACAACAACAACATGCAAAGGTTATGGGTTTTAGGGAGGAAGACCACAGTGCCATTCTCATTGTATCACACCATGTGTATACATGTTATTAACATGATTTTTCACTGATGTTTAACTGTAATGGCCTGTCCCAAGTAGTGTTTGGAAAGTTTCTCCACTGTATAAAGTTACTCTTTTCCCCCCACTTTCCATATGGTACTCTTTGGAAAGAAGTCACTATTTGCATCCTACACTTAAAGGGTGGAGAATTAGTCTCCTTTCTTTGAGGGTAGGATATTTACATATATTATTTTGGTGTATAGGAGATTTGTCTATTCTCCTCCATCTAATTATTTAAGCAATTGTTAATTTATATCAGTGGGGACTCATTGATGTTTATTTTATACTCTTGTTATAATCCAATATTTTGTTTGTAGTTCAAAGTGTTCCAACCACAGAAACTGAGGGCTTTTCCATTAGCTCCTGTATCCTTCGACATACCCCCACCTTTTGGGTTTTGCTTGTTTGCTTGTTTTGAGCATTTACATACTCTGTGGCACTACAAGATGCTCTGGGCTCATCTTTTTATTCTCTACTTCAGTCCTGGAATTAAGAAGTCTCAATCATTTATTATTTATTCTCTAACAAGCCCTGGTTCCTTTCTTGGAGAATGCAATTATAAATGATGATCGGTACGAGGTGTGCTGGTTGCTACTGATGTAGTACTGATTCCAAGCCTGCTAAGTAAACGAGCTAAGAAATATATGTGTGTAAACTAACCTAAGAATACATATATATCTATAATCATCTCTGTATCTACCTATCTATAGATATCTATATCTATATAGCTATAGATATCTATATCTATATATCTATAGATATCTATATCTATATATCTGTATATACCCATATGAATTTATATTACAATAAATATGAGTTCATATTGATGTCTCTGACATTTCTCTTTTGCATTTATAAACTTTGCTGCAACTAATAAGTTTGCATATATGTCAGGTTACATGTATGCAAGTGTATGTATAAGATAAATTCTCAAAGTGGAATTGCTGGGTCTACTATACATTTATAAATTTGATAGTTATCTGTTAACTTACACTCCACAACTGAGGGTGAAAGTTTATAAAACAAGTTAATTTCTCATTTGACAATTTCCACACAAAACACAGGTCTGTCTCCCATTTATACTTCTATCAGCAACATATGAGGATACCTATTTTCTTACACTTTTTACAACTGAAAATGCTATAAAACTTGTACAGTTTTGTCAGCCTAATAGGTGATAAATTACATCTCCATGTAGTTTTAATTAGCAGTTTTCTTATTGTTAAGGTTGAGCTTCTTCATCTAAGAGCCATTTGCATTTCTTTGGTCACACCCTCGATATATTTTCTATTGCATTATAGATCTTTTTTCTTCTTGGTTCTACATCCTCTGTTTCGATATTGAACAAAGCACTTGTCATTGGTCATTCTGAGTACTCAATATTACACATCAGATGAGATGAAAACAGTTCAAATAATGAAAATGCCTTAATAAATCTGAACTACGTGACAGGCCTTTTTGGGCAAGGAGTGGAAATTGGAAGGCACTGATAGGATCTTAAATGAAATGAAAATGTATTTGGCAGGTTATTCAAGAGGACTTTAATCTTGTTAAGCATTATTTGAGGTTTTACAACTCAATAAAGATATGAACTATATCTTTGCTATACCTAGAAAGAAACATAATTTTCATTGATGGGATTACAACAAAATTAGGAATTTGTGCCTAAAAATGGAAGTTAGACAGTGGACTATTTTCTTTACAAAAGAAAAAGAAAAATGATGTACTTACTTTTAAGATTATGAAGTAACGTATCTAGCAAAGTCATAAATTTTGAGTATTGAATAACAGAAAACTCCATTCCTTTAGCCCACAAAAATCCAGATACATAATAATCTAATAGAATTGCTTCCTTTAAACAAGTTTGAAGATTTTTGAATTTCAAAAACTCTTCCAATTTTCTGTAACAAAAAGGAAAATCTAGATATTAAGATAATATTAAACACTGAAGAATTCCTTTTCTAAAAATTTTGAAAACTTAACTGTTTTTTCTTGAATAAAAATTCTTTAATGTCCATAATCTAAGATTAAAAGCAACTATATATCAAACCAAACCAGTTGCTGCCGAGTTGATTCTGACTCATTGTTGTTATGTGCTGTCCAGTTGCCCCGACTCATAGCGACCCCTCCTTGGGTTTCCGAGGTGGTATCACTACGCAAGTAGATTGCCCAACCTTCCTTCAGAGGAGTGGCTGGTGGGTTTGAACTTCCAGCCTTCTGGTTAGCAGTCACATGCTTTAGGCACTACGCTACAACTAAATCTCAAACCAAGTTGCTGCCTGGTTGATTCTGACTCATAGTGATCCCAACTCCCAAGTGTTTCAGAGTAGAGTTGTGCTCCACAGGGTTTTCAATAGTGGTGACCTTTCTGAAGTAGATCACCAGACTCTCTGACGTGCCTTGGTGTGGGTTCAAACCTCCTCCAACATTTTGGTTACTAGTCAAGCATTTAATCACTGGAGCCACCCACAGACACCTAATCTAAATATGTTGTTGTTGATGTTGTTGTTATGTGCCCTCGAGTCACATCCAACTCACAGCAACCCCTCCTTGGGTTTCCGAGGCGGTATCATTATGGAAGTAGATTGCCCAATCTTCCTTCCGAGGAGTGGCAGGTGGGTTTGACTGGTTAGCAGTCAAGAGCCTTAGGCACTATGCTACCAGAGCTCCTCCTAATCTAAATATAGTCATCATTATATCAAAATCTGTACATCCAAAACAATGTTTTTGACATTCCTTCCAGAAAGGCAGTGACCCAGTTAGTCTTCCATCAACCCCATGAAGTAAGGTCTGTTTATGCATACTCCAATCTAGTTTGGGTTTTGCCAGTAATTTTACTATCTATGAATCTGATGGGGGGAAAAAAAAACAAACTATCTTGTGCATTTCTTCACTTGTTAGTTAGATTTAATTCTTTTTAATGTCCTCTATTTTTTTTTTTTCTTATTGATTTAGAAGAGCCTTTGGTATATTTGGAGATATTAATCCTTTATGTTTGTGTTACAATTTTTAAAATATCAGTTTGTTACCTGACAGTTAATGTTATGTAGTGACAGAAGAAAATTAGGTTACTTTTTTTCTTCCTTCTTCTCATTTTACAGCCCTGTATTTTTTTCACATGTTCTGGAATAACTAGTCTAGTCTGTTATTATCATATTAGACTTTAAGTTTAAATGAATCTCATGCTTACTGCCAGGCCTTTTATATCACAGTTTCTCATTGGTAGTTTCTTTGTTTTAAATTCACCAATGATTCGATTCATCTTTCAGCTGGGTTATGAATAGATTTTTCAACAAGACCATATAGATGCTTGATTTCCAACTTCGGTAAGGTGGAGGAATAGGCAGACAAGAGACACAGACCCTCTTCAACAAAGAAAAGAAAAACCAATTGACAGAGATACAGAAGATAATCCTGGAGCCCCGAGCTTTGAAAGGAACAATACAGAAGTGGATTAGGCACCAACTGGTGGAAAAACCTGAACAAAAACAGTGAGCACAGAGATGATTGGGGCTGAGGACTGTCAGCCACTCTGACTGGACCAACAGCCTGAATATTTCCAAGTGGTGTTGGGACCTGAGAATTGACTTAAAGATCTGCCCTGGTCACCAGGGTATGCAGGGATGACTGTGCTGGTGGCCGATGACTAGGAAGGAAAACAGCAAGGAGGGAGAGATAACCTGAGCTGTGGACTTTCCACTGTCTGGAGGGTGCAGCCATTTTGATTGTTTACATGTGGCAGCCATTTTGGATATTTAAAGTCACTGAGGGTACAGCCATTTTGAATGTTTGTAAGTGGCAGCCATTTTGAATGTTTACAAACGGTGGTCATGTTGGATATTTAAAGTAACCAAGGGTGCAGCCATTTTGAATATTTATAAGCAGCAGCCATTTTGGATATTTAAAGTGACCAGGGGTGCAGCCATTTTGAATGATTACAAGAAGTGGCCATTTTGGATATTTAAAGTGACTGAGGGTGCAGCCATTTTGAATATTTACAAGCAGTGGCCATTTGGGATATTTAAAGTGATGGAGGGCACAGCCATTTTGAATCTTTACAAGTAGCAACTATTTTGGATTTTAAAGTGATAGCATTCTCATTTGGATTCCAAGGACCTAAGAAAGGCTTTGCTTGCCAAGGTCTGCAGGGACATACGAGAGGCTGACAACAGGAAAGGAGACAGGTGGTGAGTGTATAAGTGCTGTCAACTAGTGAATAGAGGAGCACAGTACCCTGCTTACGTAGATAACATACAAACAAAACAAAGAAAATGGAAGTCATGGACAAGTCACTCCAACATACAATCATCAATTAAATATAAACACAAAATGTCACAATGCCTCAGAGACAACAGAGCATCACAATCCACACAAAGAAGCAAGATAAAGCAGGAGAAACAAGGGACCAGGATATAGAGCCAAAACACATCCCTGAAGAAGATGCAGCATTGGAAATCCTTGATAAAGAATTCAAAAGAATTGTATTTAGGCATCTTCAATGAATTGAGAGTCAGATTAAGGAAAACACAGATAAATCCCTAGAATAATTTTGGAAGAAAATATAAGAACAAAATGACAAAATAAATGAAAAATTAGAAATGACACAAAATCTTCACACAGAAATTCAGAAGATTAATAGCAAATTTTCAGAAGTAAATAAGACATTGAATGGGCAAAGGAGCAGAAGTGAATCAATGGAAGACAGAATTAGGGAGATTGAAGGCAAATTCCTGAACACTTCTTTGGAAAAGGATCAATCAGAAAAAAAGATCAAAACAAAATGAAGAAAGCCTAAGGTTCATGTGGGATACTATCAAAAGGAATACCCTACGTGTAATCAGAGTTCCAGAACAGGAAGAGACAAATAAAACCACAGAGAAAATTGTCGAAGATTTGTTGGAAGAGAATTTTCCTGGTATGATGAAAGATGAGAATATATCCATTCAGGAAGTCCAACAAACACCAAACAGGATAGACCTCAAAAGAAAATCACCCAGACATATCATCATCAAACTTACCAAAATCAAAGACAAAGAAAGAATCATGAGAGCAGCATAGGAAAAACAAAAAGCTACCTATGAAGGGCAACCAATAAGACTAAGCTCGGATTTCTTGACAGAAACCATGCAGGCAACAAGACAATGGGATGGTATATAAAAAACACTGAAAGAGAAAAATTTCCAACCAAGACTTATGTACCCAGCAAAATTGTCCCTTAAATATGATGGTGAAATTAGGACATTTCCAGATAAGCAGAAATTAAGGGAATTTGTTAAAACCAAACCAACCTTACAAGAGATACTAAAGGGAGCTCTTTGGACAGAGAAGCAACAACAGCCAACAACAACTGACCATTAACACACATGATGATATAATCCAGAAACCAACCCAGCTATGGAAGTATCCAAAGTAAAGAACCCTACAAGATTGTAAAAAGGGAACTAGAGACATCAATTGACAAATGAGGACAACTATAAACCAAAAAGAGGGAAAAAAACTGTGTTTTTATAGAACTTCTAGATGGTAGGGAAGTCAAGACAACTACAAGATGGAATGGACTGTTCTAAACTTGTGAAGAAAACTAGAAATCATAGAGTAACCTCAAAGAAAAATGACAAATCTTCACATCAAAAAGAAGACTAGCATAAATATTCAGCAAATACTAAAACAATAGCAATGAGAGAAATGGTAACATGATTCACAAACAAAATGAGCTTAGCAAAGAAAATTATATGGAACAAAGAAATCAACACCACGAAAAAGCACATAACAAAAACAAATTCATATTTGCCAATAATTACATATCTTGCAAGGACCTTATTTCCAAGATTTATAGCAAAAGAGTGGATGACCAAACTATGGTGCATACATATAATGGAATACTATGAACACTAAAGAATAATGCAGAGTCTGCAAAACACCACATAATATGGATGAACTTGGAGGACATTATGCTGAGTGAAATAAGTTAATCACAGAAGGACAAATATAGTATTAGTTCGTTTTTGTGGAGGGTCAAGGAAAGGTTTATATATGGAGGGAAACTTTCTTTGTTGGTTGCAGGGGTGGGAGGGGAGGGGAGGGAACACTGCAAAAAAAAAAAAATGCATTGACTCATGTCACTTTAGTTTTGCGTATTTCACTGTCCATAAATTATATTTCAATAAAATGCATTAAAAAAAAGAATAAGACCATATAGATGCTCGATTTTCTAGTTGCCACATATATTACAAGTCTTATTGCCATTATAACTGAACAACTTGAATTAGTGTTTTATTTTGCATCACATTCTTTTGACTCACCAAATTTTGATTATTTATTTCAATGATTTCTGCTTCCTAATGTTGCAAAGGAAATGTCTGATGTCTGAATGATTTTATCCCTCTTTAGATGAATGGCTTTATCCAATATGAGGTAATAGATGAAGTTTTTTTTTTATTAAAATAAAATTTAAAATAATAACTTATTTTATGAGACTTAAGTTATTTTTTTTCTGATTCCCTATATTGAATGTACATTCTAACCTTTTGCTGGCAAGTTGATGCCAACTCCTGTTGACACCATGTGTTACAGAGTAGAACTACTCCATAGGGTTTTCTTGGCTGTAATCTTTCTGAGAGTAGATTTTCAGGCCTTTCTTCCATGGCTCCATTGAGTGGGTTCAAACCATCAACCTTTATGTTAGTAGTCGAGCAGAAACCGAATACTTTATTCAGGGGCCATGATGTGTATTCTAACATCTTCTAATTGTTTTAATCTATGCATATTATGTACATCTTAAGTTACTCTTCCACATTAATGATTTGATTTTCAGCCAGTTAAGTGCTACATTGGTTTTATTCTGTTACCCTTAGTTTTTTGCCTTAGTTCTATAAGGTTCTTATTTTCATATTTTACCAAGCCTTCTTTAATCCCTTGTTGCCCAGAGTCTATGTTTTACTAAATTATCAGCTTTTGTGAAACATTTTCTGCTGCTTCCAGCAATTTTTCTTTCTTTTAAGTGCATGCTTCATCTGCTTTCTGCAAGCTATGCTTTTTCAATTAAATTTTTGACCTAAATATTTGCATGTGTACTTTGCTTTTTATTTACTTTTTTTTCCTACACTTAATAATATTTGAATGAAGGCAATTAATTGCCTGAGGCTATTTTGGTGAAATCTCTTTGACCTTCACAAGCTTTGCTCTCCCTTACTCCCCTCTCACCACTTTACCTGTTGTTTTTGTTGTTATGTGCTGTTGAGTTGGACCCAACTCATGATGACCCCTCCTTGGGTTTTCGAGGCAGAATCACTATGGAAGTAGATTGCCCAACCTTCTTCTGAGGAGTATCTGGTGGGTTTAAACCACCCCTTCTGTTAGCAGTCAAGTGCCTTAGGCACTAAGCCACCAGAGCTCCTAGTACCATTTAAATCTTCCCCTTCAACTTGAACTATAGAGATGAATATTTATCATTTCTACTCTTTGCTCAGTCATTTAATTCCAAAGGAGATTAAGCAGGGAGAAATTTGGAGCAATATGCTACTACAGTTTCAATGCAATGTTTCCATACATGTTACTGGCAAATTTGTAGACACCTTTTCTCTGTGGATGAGTAGAAGTAGGACAGAAAAGGAGAGATGGCCACATTGTAGGGTAAAGGAGTATAGGGAAGAGAAAGATGCTTAATGGTGACTTAGGAACTTTTCCTGTAGTGATAGGTAATGTAACTATTTTGTCTCACCAAGAATTTCAGTAAGAATATTACATTATTCTTGCATGCTTTTGAAATTGGAGTGCATTTTATTTCTTGAATATGATGACATGCAGAAATAAGCCTTAAGGCAAGAACTGAATAGCTCATGGAGGCCAGTTTTAGAAAAGTTATAAAAAGATGTCTCAGAGTTATTTCTGTGTTTATATAGTTATTTTCAATTTACTCCATATCCTCTTTTTAAAAGAGGATTTGAGGTGGGTCTGTAAATAAAACCAGGGTTACATTAAAATGCGAATGATTGATAGCATCTAGGAGATCGTTAGAAATGTATCCAGACATTTAACTTTACTTAAAGTGTACTCCAGAAATATGTTTTACTCATACTTTAATGATTCATTCGGTTGGCTGCTTTCATGGAGAGCAATTTCTAATTTTAAGTGGTAGGGAAATGTGCTGATTTCTTATAATTTATTTAAATAGGTCTCTAGCTTTGTAGAGAGTGTGATTTTGGTATACGTCTGTCACTTGATGACAGGATACTTATATTTCTGTCGTTTTGAAAGGTATATAATCCCCATTTACAATAATACTATTTGAAAATGAAAGTGAGTGAGTGATTGCAAATATTTCAGGATTACTGATACAAAACTCACAGTAAGTACCACAAAAAAATTCCTTTGCAAAGAAATGACACCTGCCATAATACTAGTGTCTTTTATACAAAATTAAAGTCCTAAATTTTGAGATTGTATCAGGAGATTTCTACATTAATGAGACAGTCTAATAGGTCACCTGTTATGAACCTGGCCATTTCTCTACTGCTAATTTCTGTATCATCCTGTATATCATTCACTTTGACCTAAACCTCAACTCTCAAGGCTAAAAAATATTTCTAGAATTTAGATATTTAAAAACAAAAGAAAAAATACTGTCACACAAGTATGATACAAAAGATAACTTCAAATGTTGTAAGAAATAGTTTACAAAGCATTTGTTTGCAATACTTTTTTATTTAATATGCTTATATTATAAAAGTAACTGGGAAACTATGACAAATAAGTATTTGTCATTTTGCATTGTATTCTTTTGCCTTCTGGTTAGCAGTCAAATGCCTTAGGCACTACGTCACCAGAACTCCTTTCTTTTCCCTAGTGTTAGCCAACTATCATTTTGCATTACAACAACTAAACATTTGGAGAAACCTGAAAATGGAAAAAAAATTATATAAAGGCACAATCAATAGTAGTAATACAACAAATACGTTTTACTTATCAATTCTCACACTAAAAATTAGAATTCCCAAAGCACGTTCACTTCTATAAAAAATGGTAAAAGTATCATAAAATAGTTATTTGAAATATGTGAAATTAAAAAAAAAAAGAAACTTATGTAATAACCCTTGTGGAGCTATGGATACTAAGCAGTTATGGAAGAATTCAGATCATCAGGATTTCTAGCAGTGTTTGCAGGTACCAGCAGTAAAGAGCAGCTTTGGGAAAGACCTGTCAGTGCCATTCGCTTACTCTCGATATGCCTTCCTTCTCACAGTTCCCTTCTAGCCTGTACTGCTGTCAAATTTCTTTCTCAGTAGTGAATTGCCTCTGTTTCCTAACATTTGTAAGATTTTCAAGTGATAACCACTGACAGGGTCATTTTCTATTTGTCCATTATGGTTCCCAACACTATGCTTGTACCCTGTGGACTGACTGGCCTGCAGGCACCTTACCTCAGGACATTATGTTCAGTACATTGTATTTCCCCCTGCTCTCCTCATATTACAGCCAATCAGGGTTTCATTATTAGAGTGAGATAATTTTAAAATGGATGATTACTAAAAACACCTTTTAGAAGCTTGTGTAGTTGAATATATCTGACTAGAATTCTAATTATTGTAGAAATAAACAGCCAAGTGAGATGTACATATATATAGCAACCCTATAGGATTAGAACAGAACTTTCTCATAGTCTGTGACCACCATGATAACATTAGGAAATGGGAGGACACTGAATTGTGCACATAGGAGATAGATGGCAGATGCTAATACCAATCAATGTGTCCACAATACTGCATTACCATTAACACCAAACACCAGGCTACAGATAAACACCTGAGAGGATCAGATGGGGGTCAGTGAACAGGAGTATACTCTGGGCCAAAGATAGATTCAGCTGAGGCTAATCTTGCACAGACACCAGTGATACAAAATACCTGAAGTCATTACAGAAACAATAGAAGACAGACACAGAGTAATCCCTCACAGACAACTAGACACTATAGGAGAGAGATCCAATAGATCTACCGTCTCAGGACCATAGTACTGGAGGACACCAAACTCAATGTTGTTGTTGTTATGTGCCGTCGAGTCAGACCTGACTCATAGCGACCCCTCCTTGGGTTTCCGAGGCAGTATCACTACGGAAGTAGGATTGCCCAACCTTCCTACCAAACTCAATAGGCACAACAAAATACATAAAAGCCTTGTTCCACATCCTATATTGGTGAGTAGTGACTGGGGTCTTAAAAGCTTTCAAGCGGCCATCTAAGATGCAGCTAATGGTCTCCTAGCATTGGAAGTGAAGAAGAGTGCAAAAAAACAAGGGCATTTGGAAGCAATCAGCCCTAGGACACGATGGCCCTCGAGACCACAAGAACTAGATGGTGCCCAGCTACCAATGCCAACCACTCAGGAAAGGATCAAATGTGGAGATCCTGGATAGAGTGGGAGGAAAAACATGGAACAAAATCCATAAACTCAATAATGACCAGAATTACTGGTCGGATGGAGTCTGATGAGACCCCCAATACTATCGTCCTGGAATACATTCTGTGCCTGGAATAAAACTCACTCCCAGGGGCTGGCTATCAGCCCAACAGTTAACAAGATGTACATGAAGACCATTCAACCCAGGATGACACACCCACGTACTCTATGGTAATACATCCCTTAGCGCAATAGACCACAGGGCACCAGAGGGGCAACATTCACACTGAGGAAATGCAGGACAAACAGGAGTGCATAACTATGAGGGGCACAGGAGGAGGGTTACTGGGCAGGGAGGGGAGGAGACTGGATTAGGGCTGGGCATGGTAAATGGGGAGTGAAACTAAATGTACACGTAACATGCCATTTTCCTGGGATGTTGAATGTAAAACAAACTCTTTAAAAAAAGAACTGTCTCATCGAATTTCCAAGGCTGTAATCTTTATGGAAGCAGAATGTCAGATTTTTTCCGTGGAGTGGCTGGTGGATTCGAACAGCTGACCTTTAACCATTACACCACAAGTGCTCCTATATAAGGATTGCTACCTATAAATTCAAGGAGCTCTGGCAGCGTAGTGCCTAAGGCACTTGACTGCTAACCAGAAGGCTGATGGTTCAAACCCACCAGCCACTCCTCGGAAGGAAGATCGGGCAATCTACTTCCGTAGTGATACTGCCTCGGAAACCCAAGGAGGGATCGCATGAGTCGAGTCCAACTTGACAGCACATTAACAACAATAACAACAACCTATAAATTCAGTTATATTCACATTTTCAAGCAACTTGTATGAAACCAGAATGAGAATAATATTCAAGAATTTCTAAAATAATAAAATGAATAGGTTATTAATATTACAGGAAACATAACTTACACTTCTCATTATGAGGGACCTTTAGATTCTTGTGCATATTGACAATAAGCTTTATGAATGAGAGAAAAGAAGGTGACATATGCTAGAGGCTGCTTTTAACAAGAAATACCTACTCTCAACTAATATAAACAAAACTTAATTTGAAAACGTATTTCTCCTATGATGAAGGCTATAGAACAACACACCTGAAAAAGCCATTCATTTGACAAATTTTGTATTCTACAGTCCGGATATATATTAGTGCACAAAATAATAAAAAAATATTTTGAAAAACTTGAAGTGTTTATAATCATTTGCATTATAAACATGTCATGGTCATTTATGGATGCAAAATTAAATTTTTTCAATTTGGTTGTAATATTTAAGTGCTTACTGTTGAACTCCATTTGGATCTGCTGCTAGCAAATCAGTGATTTGGTCAACTGAAAGTAAATCTGGAGAAAGGATCTCATTCTCCTGGGATCCAGCATCTCTCTACAATTGGAAAAAAAAGTAAAAAGATTGATTTCAATCATATTTTATGTATTAATCCCACTGATATAAAAATTTGTTCTCGTGGTCTAGTTGCTGTCAGGAAGAAAATATAAAAACAATAGTACCCTAGATAAACAGTTGTCTTTTTCCTTTTTATATAATGGTACCTCTCCTCTGAAGTGCAAACAGTTAGTCAACCTATCATTTGAGCACATGTAAAATGGATGATGATTTTCAATTCAACAACTATTTACTGAATGTTTACATATTTCTTATTTATTTGGAGGTACAAGAGTAAGCAAAAACAAGTTAGAAATACTTCCTACTCTTTGTTGTTGTTGTTGTTTGCCGTCGAGTCGGCCCCGACTCATAGTGACCCCTCCTTGAGTTTCCGAGGCAGTATTACTATAGAAGTAGGATTGCCCAATCTTCCTAAAATCTCACAAGCAGAACAAACCAAGAGGGATTTTAGAGCAGGAAAAGAAAATGATGTGGAAAAAGAAGCCATATCAATGTCATTCAGTCTGAAAGAAAGGTCTTGGTTTAGGGACAGAACAAGAAAATTCTGTAGAGAGAAGATCGAGGAATGGACCTGGTGAAACTCAAGGTGAATAATGCCCCAGGTGGATGAGTCAGCAACTGCAAGGTTAGGAAGACTGGAGAACTGAGGGCTAGTTCTGCAAACAGCAGGCAGTCCACAATGATGGCCAGAGTACACACAGAGGACTAGTGTGACCTAGCTGGGAAATGGAGGTTGGGAACATATAATACAAAATCTTAAAATTTAATAATTCAGTATATATTTACTGAGTGCTTTAAACATACATGATATTGTGCAAATATTTCAGACCGGCTTTGAAGAATGGCAGACTGAGGAGTTTGTTCTTAATAATACAGGCAGTGGGGAACTAGTGATATAAAAAATAAAACTCTCCTTCAAATATGAGGGTGAGATGAGGAGATTTCCAGGTAAGCAGAAATTAAAGAAATTTGATAAAACCAGACCAACCTTACAAGAGATGTTAAAGGGAGTTCTGATAGAGAACCAACAACAGCAAACAACAAACAATGATTAACACACATGATAACATAACCCAGAAATCAATCTAGTTACAGAAGTATCCAAAGTAAAATAAGCTTACAAGACTAAAATCCAAACCAGAGACCTCAATTTGTAAATGAGGACAACTACAGACCAAACAGAAGGAATAAATAGAGTAGTTACAGAACTTCTAAATGGTGAGGAAGTCAAGACAATTATGAGATAGAACAGAGTGTTTTGAACTTAGAAAAAAAATAATAAATCACAGGTAACCTCAAAGAAAAATAATAGACTTTTGCATCGAATTAAATAAAAAGGACAAGCAGAAATATTTAGCAAATACTAAAACAATAGCAGCAAAGGAGATGATAACATGTTCATAAACAAAATGAGCTCAGCACAGAAAATTATATGGAACAAAGATATCAGCAACACCATAAAAAAGCACATAACAAAATGACATCAATAAATTCATACTTGGTGATAACTACACTACATTTCTATGGATTAAATGTACCACTCAAGAGGTGGAGAGTTGCAGACTGAAAAGAAAAAAAATGACCCATCTATATGCTGTCTACAAGAGAATCACATTAGACACAAAGACAAAAATAGACTAAAAAACAAATGTTGGAAAAAGATATATCAAGCAAAGGACAGGAGTGGCAATATTAATTTATGATGAAATAGACTTTAAGACAAAAATTACCATAAAAAATGATATTGTTGGAGTTGTGTGTCAAATTGGCTGGACCACAATTCTGAGTGGTTTAAGCAGTTGTGATGTGGGTCTTTCCAATGATGAGATCAGATGTATATGTTTTCAGCAGCCAATCCACTGAAAGGGAGTTTCCCTAGGGGCGTGACCTGCTTCCAATATATTTATGGACATCCTAGGAAAAAAAGACACTTCTGTGGATCAGGATCATGTTGTTGCTGCCTACAACTATCCATGAGTGCACAATCCACCATTCAGAATGGAGATCTTGGATTGGAGTCAAGAGCTGGAATACTACCTGCCAACCTTGAGTTCATCAGCCCCCGCAGCTGTGTGAGTCAGGTAAAGCCTCCAGCTGGATGTTTGATCCAAGAACTTGGGAGTTGCAACTTTCTATAAGTGTGTGAGCCATATTCCTAAGATAAATTTCTCCCTCTCTCTCTATATAAGCTTTATTGGTTTTGCTTCTCTAGAGAACCCAGCCTAATACATTTGGTACCAAGAGTGGTTCTAGAGAGACAAAATCATAAGCATGGGCTTCCTAAACTGGTTCTCACCACTTCTGTTTTGGTTCTCCAGTTTGATTAATCATAAAGGCACTAGTGACTCTGCCTCCACTAGTAAAGAGGACCCTGATCATCCATGGCGTGAGGTAGCAACATTAATATGCAAAATAGCACCACCAATAGATCAAGTACTTTTGAGATGTGAGGCTCTGGGCGATGATAGCATATTTGATACTTTTCTGCAATTTTGTCAGCATGAGGAGTATAAGGAAGCTGGTATGTTGGGCCTACTTATGCTAGACAAAGTGGTAAAGGAGAGAGATGAGTTCAGGGATGGTGAGTAACAGCTCAAGTGCCCCATAAAAGTCCTCAATATTTCCAGTTGTGCTCTGAAAGAAAGCCTTATTTCTTCTAGTAACAGAGCTGATATTGCCGAAAACTCAACCCAGAGTCTTATTGTAAGGGTGGCTGAATTACAACATCAATTGAATTGCCAACCTAGAAAAGTGTCTGAAGTTAAAATGAGGGCATTGATTGAGAAAAAATGGGATCCTGAAACCTGGAATGGGAACATATAGGCAGACAGTCAGGAAGATGAGGATATGGAGCCTGTAAATTTGTTAAATTCCTCCCATCTGAAGGGATTACTATAAAATCATTATGCCTTCCACCTCCATTTGATAAGATTAACCCAAATCTTCCTGCTGGGCCACTGCCTGAGGTAGATACCATGGAAGACATTGCTGAATGTTCTCAGGAATGGCCCCAACCACCCATTGTTGCTACTAGACTTGTAACTAAACTTAAGTCCAAGTGAACCCCAAAAGGTAAAACATGAAGTGTGACTGAGGAGGTGGTATGCTACATGTGAAAAGACTTACTTGATTTTGCTAAATGTAGAGACAGAAATCTGGAGAATATGTATGGGAATGGCTACTGAGGGTGTGGGATAATGGTGCAAGGAATGTAACATTGGATCAGTCTGAGTTTATTGATTTAGGCCCACTAAGTACGGATTCTTCATTCAATGTTTCAGCTTGAGAGGTTAGGAAAGGATCTAATAGTTTATTTGGTTGGCTTACTGAAGCATGAATTATGCGCTGGGCTACCTGAAGTCAAGTTGTAGTACCAGACCTGCCTTGGTAAAATGTAGAAGAAGGTATCCAGAGGTTTAGGGAAACTGGATGTTAGAATGGATTTACCAGATTAGACCCCTATTGCCACAAATGGAGAGTCCAGAAGACATGCCTTTCACCACTATGGTGAGAATCAAATTTGTGAAGGGAGCCCCAGCATCCTTGAAGACTGCTGTGATTGCCATTTTATGTAAGCTGTATTTGGGAACTGCCTTAATTGAACTAAGACACTTAACTATGATGAGGCTGATTGGATCCTGTGGCAGTAGGGGCAAAGTGGCTGCAGGTAATCAACAAAGACAAGGTGGGCATGGTTACCATAATGGACAGCAGAGTCAAAACAGTAATCAGTGTGGATTTATGGCATTGGCTACTTAGGCATAGTGTTCCTAGGAGTAAAATACATGGCAAACCTACTAAATATTTATTTGATCTGTATGGGAAGAAGAATTCTAAGTCACATGAACAGCAGTCTAGTTTGAATAGCCAGAAAACAGAGCCATGGCCTCTCAATCAATTCCTAGACTTCAGTCAATTTACAGACCCACAACCCCATGAATGAAGGCAAGGCCAGGTCCATTTGAGGAAGGACTCCACTACATTGCCAAAAATTTATGTCAATCTTTCTCCCAGCCTTCCCCAAAGGATCTGAGACCTTTTACAAGAGTGACTGTTCATTGGGGTAAAGGAAATAATCAGACTTTTCAGGGATTACTGGACACTGGCTCTGAACTGATACTAATTCCAGAAGACACAAAACATCACTCTGACCCACCAGTCAGATTGGGGGCATATGGAGGTCAAGTTACTGATGGAATCTTAGCTCAGATACATCTCACAGTGGGTCCAGTGGGTCCCAAACCCATCCTGTAGTGATTTCCCCAGTTCCAGGATGCATAATTGGAATAGATACACTGAGCAATTGGCAGAATTCCCACATTGGGTCCCTGACATGTGGAGTAAGGGCTATTATGGTAGGAAAAGCCAAGGGGAAGCCATTAGAACTGCCTCTACCTAGAAGAATAGTAAACCAAATGCAATACCACATCCCTAGAGGGGTTGCAGAGATTATTGCCATGATCAAGGACTTGAAGGATGCAGGGGTAGTGATTCCCACCACATCCCCATTTAATTTGCCTATTTGGCCTATGCAAAAACCAGATGGATCTTTGAGAATGACAGTAGATTATTGTAAATTTAATCAGATGGTGACTCGAATTGCAGCTGCTGTTCCTGATGTGGCTTCATTGCTTGAGCAAATTAGTACATCTCCTGGTACTTGGTATGCAGCTATTGATCTGGCCAATGCCTTGTTCTCAATACCAATTTCAAGGAACTGACAGAAGCAGTTTGCCTTCAGCTGGCAAGGCCAACAATATACTTTCATGGTAGTTCCTCAGTTGTATATCAACTCCCCAGCACTATGTCATAATTTAGTCCATAGGGATCTTGATCACCTTTCCATTCCACAACACATCACACTGGTCCATTATATTCATGACATTATGCTGATGGGACCTAGTAAGGAAGAAATATCAATGACTCTAGACTTATTGGTGTGACATCTGCATGCTAGAGGATGGGAAATAAACCTGACAAAAATTTAGGCACCTTCCACCTCAGTGAAATTTCTGGGGGTCTAGTGGTGTGGGGCATGTTGAGATATTTCTACCAAAGTGAAGGATAAATTATTATATCTGGCTTCCCCCAGAACTAAAAAGGAGGTAAACATCTGATGGGCCCCTTTGGATTTTGGAGGCAACATATCCCTCATTTGGGTGTGTTGCTTCGGCCTATTTATTAAGTGACTCAGAAAACTGCTAGTTTTGAGTGGGGCCCACAACAACAGAAGGGGCTGCAACAGGTTCAGACTGCTGTGCAAGCTGCTCTGCCACTTGGGCCATATGATCCGGCTGATCCAATTGTACTTGAAATGTCTGTAGCAGTTAGGGATGCTGTTTGGAGTCTTTGGCAGGTCCCTATTGGTGAATTGGAATGCAGACCCTTGGGATTTGGAGCAAAGCCCTTCCATCTTCTGCAGATAACTACTCTCCTTTTGAGAAACAGCTTTGGCTTGTAACTGGGCTTTAGTAGAGACTGGAAGTGGTATATAAGAGATTGGGCTCAAGCAGGACATGAAGGCACAAGTAAGCTGCATGAGGAAGTGGCCCAAGTGGCTATGGTCTCCACTCCAGGCACATTACCTTCCCTCTCCCAGTCTACATCTATGGCCTCATGGGGAATTCCTTATGATCAGTTGACTGAGGAAGAGAAAACTCAAGCCTAGTTTACAGATGGCTCTGTGTGATATGCACACACCACTTGAAAGTGGACAGCAATGACACTGCAGCCCCTTCCTGGGACTTCCCTGAAGGACAGTTGTGAAGGAAAATCCTCCCAATGGGCAGAACTTCGAGCCATGCAGCTGGCTGTTCACTTTGCATGGAACAATAAATGGCCAGATGTATGATTGTATATGGATTCATGGGCTGTGGCTAATGGCTTGGCCAGATGGTCTGGGACTTGGAAGGGGCATGATTGGAAAACTGGAGACAAGGATGAATGGGGAAGAGGTATGTAGATAGAACTCTCTAAATGGGCCAAAGGAGTAAAGATATTTGTGTCTCATGTGAATGCTCACCAAAAGGTGACCTCGGCAGAGGAGGATTTTAACAATCTGGTGGATAGGATGACACGTTTAGTGGAAACCAGTCATCCTTTTCCCCAGCTACTCCTGTCATTGCTCAATAGGCTCATGAACAAAGTGGCCATGGTAGCAAGGATGGAGGTTATCCATGGGCTCAGCAACATGGACTTCCACTTACCAAGACTGATTTGGCTACAGCTACTATTGAGTGCCCAATCTGTCAGCAGCAGAGACCAGCACTGAGTCTGTGATATGGAACCATTCCTCGGGGTAATCAGCCAGCAAGTTGGTGGCAAGTTGATTACATTGGACCACTTCCATCATGGAAAGGACAGTGTTTTGTTCTTACTGGAATAGACACTTATTCTGGATATGGATTCACCTTCCCTGCAAGCAATGCTTGCCAAAACTACCACCCGTGGAATTACAGAATGCCTTATCCATCGTCATTATATTCCACACAGCATTGCTTCAGATCAAGGGACTCACTTCACAGCAAATGATGTGTGACAATGGGCCTATGCTCATGGAATTCACTGGTCTTACCATGTTCTCCATTATCCTGAAGCAGCTGGCTTGATAGAACGGTGGAATGGCTTACTGAAAACACGATTACAGTGCCAGCTAGGTGGCAATACCTTGAAGGGTTGGGACAATGTTCTCTAGAAGGCTGTATATGCTTTAAACAAGCACCCAATATACAGTGCTGTTTCTCCAAGAGCCAGGATTCATGGGTCCAGGAACCAATGGGTGGAAATGGGAGTGGTACCACTCACTATTACCCCTAGTGACCCACTCAAAAAATTTTTGCTTCCTGTCCCTGCCACCCTATGCTCTGCAGGTCTGGAGATCATAGTCCCAAAAGGAGGAACACTCCCACATGGAGACACAAAAGTGATTGCCTTGAACTGGAAGTTAAGAATGCCACCCAGACATTTTGGCTTCTTCATGCCTCTGGATCAACAGACAAAGAAGGGAGTTATTGTACTATTTGGTGTGATAGATCCTGATTACCAAGGGGAAAATGGATTGACATTACATAATGGAGGTAAGAAGAATATGTTTGGAATACAGGAGATTCTTTCGGACATCTCTTAGTACTACCATGCCCTGTGATTAAAGTCAATGGAAAATTACAGCAACCCAATTCTGATATAACTACTAATGGCCCAGAACCTTCAAGAATGAAGGTATGGGTCACCCCACCAGGCAAAGAACCATGATCAGCTAAGGTGCTTGCTGAGGGCAAGGGAAATATGGAATGGGTGGTAGAAGAAGGTAGCTCTGAATATCAGCTACGACCATGTGACCAGTTACAGAAAGGAGGACTGTGATTGTTATATTTCTTCATTGTATACGTGCATCAAATATATTTGTTTCCTTCTGTTATGAACTATGAAATGTAAACAGGGTTAATGTGTTTTGGTGTACCTGTGTTAGTGTATCATGTTAGGTGAAAATATGACTTTATAATTGTCCTTATTTAGAGATTATGAATGGTTAAGAAGATGTGCACAACTGTCAAGTTGACAAGGGGTGGACTGTGATAGTTGGAGTTGTGTGTCAACTCGGCTGGACTACAATTCTGAGTGGTTTAAGCAGTTGTGATGTGGGTTATACCTGTGATAAGATTAGATGTATATGTTCTGAGCTGCTAATGTGTTGAAAAGGAGTTTCTCTATGGGTGTAGCCTGCTTCCAATATATTTATGGACATCTTGGAAAAAAGAGACACTCATCTGTGGACCAGGATCCTGTTGTTGCTGCCTACAACTGTCCACGAGCGCACAACCCACTATTCGGCCTCGAGATCTTGGATTCGTCATTTGTTGGAGTCAACAGCTGGTATACCACCTGCTCACCTTTGCTTCTCAGCCCCTGTAGCTGTGTGAGTTAGGAAAAGCCTCCAGCTTGGTGTTTGACCCAAGAACTTGAGACTTCCCAGCTTCTATAAGTGTGTGAGCCATTTTCCTAAGATAAATTTATCTGTCTCTTTTTCTATTTAAGCTTTACTGGTTTTGCTTCTCTGGAATACCCCACCTAACACAAGAGATAACAAAGGACATTATATAATGATTAAAGGATGAAGTGAACAAGGGTACATAACCATAATAAATATCTACGCATTCAAGGAAAAAGCCCCCAAATCTGTAAATCAGACTTTAACAGAACTGAAAACACAAATAGATCACTCCATAGTAATAGTAGGAGACTTTAATATACCACTTTCAATAAAAGATAGAACTGGAAAGAAGCTCAACAAAAATGCAGAAGAACTAAACAATACAATCAACCAACTTGACCTTATAGACATCTACAGAGCACTCCACCTAACATCAGCACAATATATATTCTTTTCCAGCACACATGGAACATTCTCCAGAATAGACCATATGTTAGGCCATAAAACAAGCCTTAATAAATTTAAAAGCACTAAAATACTGCAAAGCATCTTCTCAGATAATAATGCTATAAAATTAGAAACTACACTAGGAAGTCCAACAGAAATAGAGCAAACACATGGAAACTGAATAAAATTCTCTTAAAAAACAACTGGGTAATAGAAGAAATAAAAAATGAAATAAAAAAAAAGTTTTGAATCAAATGAGAATGAAAACACAACACACCAAAATCTTTGGGACATAGCAAAAGCTGTGATCAGAGGGCAATTTATAGCAATAGATGCACACATCAAAAAAGAAGAATAGCCAAAATCAACACCTTAACCCAACATCTCCAACAATTAGAAAAAGAGCAGTAAAAAAAAAATGTACAGTCACTGGAATAAAAGAAATAATAAATATTTGAGCAGAAATAAATGAAACAGAAATTAAAAAGGCAATATAAAAATATCAACAGACTAGAAGTTAGTGTTTTGGAAAGATTAATAATACCAAGAAACCACTGGCAAACTTAACAAAGAAAAAGAAGGAGAAGATGCAAATAACACAAATAAGAAACAAAATGGGTGATGTCACAACAGAACCCAAAGAAGTAAGAATAAAATTAGGATACTATGAAGAACTGTACTCCAACAAATTTGAAAAACTAAAAGAAATAGACTGATTTCTAGAAACACACTACTTACCTAAACTAACACAGACTGAGATAGAAAATTTGAACAGACTCATACAAAAAGAAGTTGAACACATCATAAAAAACTTACCAACAACAAAAAAATCCTGGACCAGATGGTTTCACTCCAGAATTCTACCAATCTTTCAGAGAAGAGCTAATACCAATCCTACCCAAACTATTCCAGAACATAGAAAAGGATGGAATCCTACCAAATTCATTTTATGAAACATGCATAACCCTGATAACAAAAGCAGGCAAAGACACCACTAGAAAGAACACTATAGACCAATATCTTTCATGAATATAGATGCAAACATCTTCAACAAATTCTAGCCAATAGACTCCAATAACATATCAAAAAATACATTATAACCAAGTGGATTTAATACCAGGTATATAATGATAGTTCAACACTAGAGAAACAATCAAAGTAATCCACCACATAAGTAAAATAAAGGAAAAGAACCACATGATCAAAAAAAAAAAAAAAAA